CACTGCCACAGACTAAGCATGGGTTGCCAAGGTTACGGCTGGCAGCTATTGATGGCCACTGCAGACGGTTGCGGCGGCTGGTGACTGTGTTATTACTGGTTCAGTGGCGGAGCCAGGGACAGCGGGGGCAGCTTTCGGAACTGTGCGCAGCGTACTTGGCACAGGTTGCTGCTGCGGGTGACTATAGTTGTTACTGGGCTCTGCTGGTCGTTGCTGCTGACCAGTACTAAGTACTGTGCTGCGCACGGGCTGCGATTGCGGGTTGCTGCATGTACGGCGAGCCATTAAGGGGTTGTTACCGACTGCGGCTGGAGGCTGTGTGAAAACCGCGGTTGCAGGAGGCTAGTATTGTTACTATGCTACTGTTGGCTGTTGTGGTTGGGCTGCGGTGGTTGCTACTAGAGATGGTTGCTGTTGGCCAGGCACCAGGTACTGCTGCGTACGATGCACTGTTGAATACGATGTGAGGCTGCAGCGTTCGTGGACTGTGTGCAGATTGGAGCCGCTGTGTGTCACTGTTGATGACTGTGGGCTACTGCGGGTGACATCTGCTGCCGCTGGTGGCTGTTGCTGCGGCTGCTGATGGCTGTTGCGGTAGCTACTACTCGTCGTTGAGCCCTACTGCTGCTGCGCATAAGGGCTGACACCAGGTGTGGGGTGACTGCAGTTAGGCTTAGAGGAGTAGATTGGGCCTAGGGAGGGAGTCTGGTTCTGTTGTTTGGAGGCTCATCAGGAGGGGTTACCTCGGCAGTCTGACTTTTTTGACCAAGCTGTCACTTGGCTCCCATTGCGGGGCCCTCAGGCGAACCAAGATAACAAGGCCCCCTCACGCGAGTCTGAGTGCACTCCTCTGAGAGTCTCTATACTGTCTCTATCTACCTTTCTTACTCCAAGTATGGTCTATTGGTTACGAGGGGAAGGCGGCAGGCGGGATTGCAACCCGTAGATCCGCCTCAAGACTCTGTGGGAAGTCCTCCCACCGATTGCGGGAGCTCTGCCGGAACCTAGGCGAGGTTCTGGAGGCAGGGAACCACCAGGTAACTTCTTTCTATCTGTATACCCCCACTACACCCATGTTTGCATATCCCCCCTATAGTTGCTTGATGTATGTCTGCCTGTCCCTATAAATCTTGCTTTCTATTCAGGACTTAATTAGACAAAGTAAATGAGGGCATGTATAAAGTCAAGTTCCAACTTCTTTGATTGATTGAAAGCAGAGTGTGGGATTGCATCTAGGGGAAGGGTGGGAGAAAGACAGTATTGCGTGAAGTTTGACTGGGTCAACCAAAGGCTGGGCCAGTTCCATAAGTTTGGGAAGGCCCAGTGCTGTGTTTTATTTTGTATTGCCTGGAGAACCAGACAAATCCATAAGTTTGGGTG